AAAGTCCTGATTATTCTAAAAGAGACACTTTTTTTCAACTTTTTGCAGTTATGGTCGCACTCAACCTCAGATCACCACTTCCTGATTAAAGATAGTGGCCATGTTGTTTCCTGGCAGGGGGAACGAATTTAAAGTACGTGCTCCCTGCAGAGGGTGGGTAATGAAAATACTACACCTGTGTGCGCCGCTCCTTTTTTCCAAAAAAAAAAAAAAAACAGAATAGGGAAAGTAAATTGCAATGGCATAAAGGTAATTAAATCATTAATAGCCATTAATATTTAAAGGGAATAAAAGTGAATAATTTAAATAAGATTATCAAAAATAATCGTGAAATTATTGGTAGAAAAAAGAGAAAGTTGGAATGCAAACTTAACTAAATATGTTTAGGTAATTAGTGGTAAATCTAGATTAAAAATCTATTCTTTACTTTACTTTACTATCTTAACATTATTAACAAAGTTTGGAGTCCACATTTTCTTTTCTTTTTTATGAATCATTACATTTCAGTTATTTTTCATTATGTTATATTTTGTTATTATTTAATTACCTGTATGCTACTGCAAGGAACTTTTCCTATTATTTTTTTTTCTTGTGCAGCACTTTGAAATGTGCGGACTTGCCTTGATATGCTTTGTTTTCAAAGACTGCTATTAAGGAGTGATAAGTTACTCTGCAAAAAAATTTGCCCTTGCAATGCATGAGAAGTGTTTGCACAAAAGTAGAACATGCAAACCGATTAAGTTTCACCCTATTAAGATAAAAATTAAACACAGAAAATCACACGGATAAAAAAAAGACTCTTTAACTTGGAAATAACAAGATATTGGAATATGATTCCTGATACCAAAAGCACAGGAAAAACTAAGACAAAAATGTCTTAAATTAAGTGTATTTACTCTTGATTTGAGCAGGTAAATGAGATGATTTGCCAATTGAATGAGTATTTTTACTCTTAAAATTAGATATTTGGATGAAATACACTTGAAATAAGACAATGCAATTGTTTTTTTTCTTATTTTAAATGTAAATTGTCTCACTTACCTCCTCAATTCAAGAACAAATGCACTTATTTTAAGAAAATATTACTTGTCTAGATTTCGATTTTTTCCAGTGAGAGGAATAGAGTGTGAATCAAACCTGAGTTCAATGGAATCAGACTTTGTAGCAGTGAGTGTGGGTGTGATAATCTCTTACTTTCTTAAATGAACGTTTAAAAAGTCAAGGCTTTCGAATGTTTTTCCAACCACTTGCTCCTGAATCAAGGCCTGAGCTTCATCTCTCACTGTAAAAACAAACATAGTTGTAGCATTGCAGAAACTTTAGCCAGCATTAGAGTTTACAACCATGTTGAGAGTCTAGGTCACAGAAATCTTACATGTGTTCAGAGCACGGCTGGTGATCCGGACTTTAAACCCAGGAGGA